TACCAGTAGCCTAAAAGTAGTCATGTATGTGGAAATGTTCATTATTATTAATTTTTGGGAAACACGTCAAAACCACAATGTGATGCCATCTCCTGTTAGTCATAATAAAAGACCCAAGATAGTGAGTGTTGATGAGGATGTGTGACATGGGGAACCTTGCACACTATGTAGAGCAGTGGAGAGGTCCTCCAAAAAGCTAAAGGCAGAGCTGTTATGTGGTCCCACAGCCTAGCTTCAAGGTAGTAAGCCAGAGGAAAGTAAATCAACATATCAAAGGGCTACCTCACTCCCATGTTTATGTGCTATGGTTCACAACGCCCAAGATACAGAATTGGCCTAAAGGTCCTTCAGTAGATGAATGATAAAAATATATATATGCACACTGGAAAAACTACACAGTCATAATGAAGCATGAATTTTGGTTATTTATGACAACATGGATAAATCTAGAGGTCATTCTGTGAAGTAAAATATACTAGGCTCTGAAAGACAAGTACTCTTGGTGTCACTCGTTAGAATCTAAAAAGTTGATGCTTTTAGAAGCAAAGAATAAAACGCTAGTTGCTGAAGTCATCACTATGCGGGAGAGCACTTGAGAAAATGGTGGCCAACAGGTTGAGAAGACAAAGCAACAAACGAAACAGTCATTTTTTCTTCAAGAGATCTATTTTCCAGCAGCATAATTATACTTAATGATGTATTTTTGTTTTCCTGAAAAATACTGAGTGGATCTTACATGTTCTTATAACAAAAATTATTACTGTGTGAAATAGTACATTTGACAACTGATATATATATATATATATATATATATATATATATATATATTTGTGAACATATGGCATACAGTAGTGTGTGTGTGTGTGTGTGTGCGCACGCACATGCACATGTGGTGCTGGAGCATGAACCCACAGCCTCCCATATGCTAGGCTGGACAATGAATACATAGAACTTTATATATTAATTTTTAAATAAATTTGACAAGATAACCCAATTTTAGGAACAATCCCACATACCCTTCAGTGGGTAAATGATGAAAACAAATTTTGATACCTCATACTCAGAGGATTGACTGGTCCACCACAGAGAAGAGCACATTGGCCTAGGGATGTAGCTCAATGGCAAGGTGCTTGTTTATCATGCGCGAGGACCTGAGTTCAAACTTCTAAACTCCTTCCTCCAAAAGGAACAAATTACTGATGTCTAGAGGAATCCCTAGAGATTTGCCTTGAGGGATGGGCAACCGCAAAATGTTAGGTACAGTTTAATTCCAACCATATTACAGTCTTCAAAAGTTAAATAGTGTAAGTGGGGAATGTGTTAGTAATTAGCAAGGGTTAAGGAATGGGTGGAGGGAAGGTAAAAAGAGAAGCATTCGTGGACAGTGCTCAGCTGCATCTTGATTGTGTCAGTGTCAGTCCCCTCAGAATGATACTGAGCTATCGCTTTTTAAGACGTTCCCAGTGGGTTGAACTGGGCAAATGAAATGGGTTTATCTCTTACAATTTCACACAAATATAGTTATCTCAGAAAGCTGAAATAAAAAAAAGGAAAGCAATCCTCTAAAACAAAACAATTAATGAAACAGTAAAAGAAGTATAGAGTGAAGTTTCATATCTTATATAACTAGTTTTCTTCATTAACCCAAGTGCTACAAACAGGAAATATTGAGGCATGACATGCATTTTTTATAAATTGAGTCATCTTTTACATGAGTTAAGGCATTTCGGTGCATTAAGAAATTACTCAGTAAATTCTCTAGAAATGTCAACAATTTCCCTAGATTGTTGTCTTACTTTTCTCATTTCTGAGACAAAAATACCCAACGCCCAAAGTTAAAGGAGGGAAGGTGTGTTTAGCTCACAGTTTATAGAGGTTTCAGTCCATAGTCGGCTCGCTCCACAGCTGGGTGGCTCACGGCAGCAGGAGACAGCAAAAGAGTGAAGAAGAGAGAAGCCTCTCTCTGTCCTTTATATTGTATGCAGTCTACCAAGATTAGGGTGGTCCCCATCCATCCAGTGGACTGATGTAGAAATCCACCACCCTCCTCCCAGCACCCTTAATCCCAGCATTGTGCTAGGAGTCAATTGCGCATCCTAATTCCGCCACCTCTGAAAACCCTGTGACCACGTGAAGCTTGGGAGGGATATCTAGACACAAGCTGTAACAATTGTATAATGACGTTTCTTAATGTTTCTATAGTTCCTTTCACTTTTAAAATTTAATTTCACAACTGTACTGCATCATTTGTTGTAAGAGGAAATAATCCAGAAAAATAAATATATAGCCACTAAAATATTTTCCCACGGTCACCTACGTATCATACCACCAGTGACTGATCAATCATACTTTTGGAAACACTATGCTACGTTATTGTAATTCAGATTTTCATAAATTCAGTTTACTGAAAAAATTTAAGCAGACTGTAAGCTCCGTGAGGACAGAAGTTGCTCTGATCTCACGCCTCCTCGTTTCTGCAGCTCTTCTCTCTGGGCCCACGTCAGGTGTTCAGTACACAGTGAACGCTGCACTACCGAGTGAAAGCATAGAGTCTCATCCTCATCTTCTGAGGCGCTAGAACTGATAGTAAGATAATAAAATAAGGCTTAGACTGCATATGAAAATCCGTCGTGGCGGACTGTACCTCCAGTCTTCCAAACACCGAGGTAACATAACTCACATAGCAGTTCTCTTAAACTTCAAGGAGGGTGTTCGCCCTCGAGCTGAGGTGACAGGCGCCGTAGCTGGTGCGCGGCAGGAGAGGGCAGAGTGGAGGGAGGCTGGGAGCGTGGAGCGGGAGTAACCACTGAATATGCGTTGATTTCGTGCAGCTGGGGTAACCTTACAGTGACTTTAGGGCTGAAAGGAAGGCTACATTGAAGGCTAAATCTATGGGAAAGTGGCTTCCGTGAAGAAATCTCGGTTTCATTAACAGTTGCTTTAAAGCACTCAGTGTTTCTAAAATGAAAGACTCTAAGTGTCCTTCATGGCCTTCATCCAGTGAGTCTCACTTCTCAAGCTTAAATCTCAGCCTGACTCCTTCTGTCTGAGCACTAAGAAATGGCACAGTTTCCTGCATCGTGTAGGGTGAGAGAAGAGACCATAAACCTGAACTGGGCACAGCATTTTGGGCCCGCTGCTTACCGGAGGTTTATCGGTTAGGAGGGGCCCTGGAGAACAAACGGCCTCTTGTCAGCTGAAGGCCGTAGGAGCTGGACTCAGGGCGCCACGTCGCTGGTGGGGCCACGGGCAATTACTTTGTCGGTGGGGATTACTGGCTGTAGGAGCTGATTCTTCGGAAGAGAAACCACAGAGGCAAACCTATTGGTAATTCAGAAGACATGTTGGAATGTTAGTGACATAAAATACTGTTCCTGTTGCTTAGTAGTATTAATCTAAGAGAACGGCTTGCATGCTTTCCTACTATAGGAAGTCTATCAAGAGGTAAAGGAGTGGTCACTTATGTCCCTAAGTTTCCTTTCACTGATTCAGTCATGCACCAACTCATTGTCCTCTTTTAAACAGAGCATCAGGTAAGAGAAAATTTGAAAAGAAAGATTACATATGCTTCCACGAATTTGAAGGTAGGCAAGGTTGATCAAAGAAAAGCACATTCTACTGGTTAAGGTAGATGAAGGGACTCTAACAAGCAGCCAGCTTTGTCATCAGCCTGAGAAGCAATGTGGTGCCTCACCCCTGCTGTGGGCATAGTATGAGAGGAAAAGTTACCTGGCCTCGGCAGGTGCAGCTCGGGGTAGGCGGGGGCTCGGAGTGGGAGTGGGCGCACGCGGAGATTTCCGGCAACCACAGTGCTGCGCTCTGCACACGATTATTTCTCAAGGTCTGCATTTAATCAGAAGAAATAGAAAGCAATTAATAGGTCTATAGGCCCTCCGCAAATGGCTAGTCACAACTAGCCATTTTACAGATGTTTCCAACCGCACACTCATCCTCAGGGCCTCGCTGGTCAGGGGATGGGTGCATGTGAGCCACACTCTGGTCCTCAGGGCCTCGCCGCTCAGGGGATGGGTGCGTGTGAGCTGCACACTCTGGTCCTCAGGGCCTCGCTGGTCAGGGGATGGGTGCGTGTGAGCCGCACACTCATCCTCAGGGCCTCGCTGGTCAGGGGATGGGTGCGTGTGAGCCGCACACTCATCCTCAGGGCCTCGCTGGTCAGGGGATGGGTGAGTGTGAGCCACGCTCTGGTCCTCAGGGCCTCGCCGCTCAGGGGATGGGTGCGTGTGAGCCACACTCTGGTCCTCAGGGCCTTGCTGGTCAGGGGATGGGTGCATGTGAGCCGCACACTCATCCTCAGGGCCTCGCTGGTCAGGGGATGGGTGCGTGTGAGCCGCACTCTGGTCCTCAGGGCCTCGCTGGTCAGGGGATGGGTGCGTGTGAGCCGCACACTCATTCTCATGGCCTCGCTGGTCAGGGGATGGGTGCGTGTGAACTGCACACTCATCCTCAGGGCCTCACTGGTCAGGGGATGGGTGCGTGTGAGCCGCACTCTGGTCCTCAGGGCCTCGCTGGTCAGGGGATGGGTGCGTGTGCGCCGCACACTCATTCTCAGGGCCTCGCCGCTCAGGGGATGGGTGTGTGAGAGCCGCACACTCATCCTCAGGGCCTCGCCGCTCAGGGGATGGGTGCGTGTGAGCCGCACTCTGGTCCTCAGGGCCTCACCCAGAGGTAGGATTTTTCTCCCCTCCGATGGCCTCAGGAAGTCTCACTCTGACTCCTGAGCTGAAGGTACTGGCATGCTGTGACCTAGAGCATGCCCTGAAGGACCAGAGGCGGTATACCTAGGAGAGTCGCTATGAGCAGAACCACTGCATTATTTCCGCGTGTTGTAATAACCAGGTGACTTTCGTGATGTCCTCTTGTCTTAGTTTCAGAGGTTTCCTCACCTTAAGTGCTGTAGCAACATTGCAGGAGAATACAGTGGTCTCTTTGATAGAAAGTCATATGTAACTCCATTTTTATTTTGTGTATTTTGTCCCCAGACATCGATGAGTGCTCGGATGGCTTCATCCAGTGTGACAGCCGCGCTAGCTGTGTCAACCTGCCGGGATGGTACCACTGCGAGTGCCGAGATGGCTACCATGACAACGGGCTGTTTGCACCTGGGGGAGAGTCCTGCGAAGGTCAGTGAAGGACACGACCGAGGGTACAAGAATGCCTCTTAATTCAAGTAACGTACAGTAAGATGTCTGTAGTAATGTTTTATAGTTCTTAAGTCACTGATATCTTTATTCTTGGTTACAAAAAAGTGACTGGAGATACATTAATATCAAATTTTTGTTTGCTAATTATGACAGTCTAGTTTTAGATAAAGTTTGTGATACTAAACCAGTGTTTTACGGGTGTTTCCAACTGCAACGCTGTGGCAGAATGCACACTGTATTATTATATGGACTCTCATGTTGTTTTAATTTTTTATTTTAAAACAAGAAAAAAATAATGAAAATAACAATAATACAGTTTTAAAACAGCAAGTAAGAGTTACAGCAACTAACACATCATGTTTTGTGAGCTTGTAGTGCTTATTCAGAGTACAAGATACAGGCATGAAATCCTGTCCAAACACAGACCTTTCTTCTCAATGAACTGAGAGAAACTGGCTCTATAACTGTCTTCACTGTCTTGTGTAGAAATATGCTGTCTTCCTTCCTGTCCCCTTCCTCCATCACAGTTTGTCTTTTCTTTCAAGCGCTTTCTTTCCAATTCACAGTGTCTGTTATGCATTTTGGATCTGACTTATTTATTCAGTTTCTCACTCTAGTGAGACCGTACAGTGTTTATATATAAGGGTTTGATTTATGTCACTTATGGATATGGCCCTCATTTACATCCATTTATCTATAAAAGTCTCCAGTTTATCCTTCTTTATGGTTGAGTACTCCATTATGTTAAAAAAAAAAAAAGACACGTCTTTTTTATCCATTCTTCAGTTGATGTGCATTTGAGTTGTTTCCAAGATTTCTTATGACAGATTGTGCTGCTGTAAACATGGGTGCATGCGTATCCCCATGTTATCATGTTTTTCGTTTTTCTGGGAAGATAAGCAGAAAGGGAACGCATGGGTCAAATGGGACCTCTCATCCTAGTTTCTTAAGAAATCACACTGATTTCCAGCGTACCTGTATCAGCGTCACTCCCACCCACAGTGGAGAAGGGTTCCTTTTTCTGCATAACCCTGCCAGCATTTGCTAATGGTTGATTTTTTAGTTTTTTCCAATGATAGACATTCTTTTAGGGGTGAGATGGAACTTCAGTGTTGTTTTAATTTGCATGTCTCAAATGACCAATGATGTTGAACTTTTTTTCATGCATTTGTTTGCCACTTGTATTTTTTCACCTGAGAAGTTTGTGTTCATTTCCCAAGCCCATTGTTGGACTGGGTCTTTGAATTGGGGGGGAGTCTGATTTTCTAAATTCTTTATATGTTCTAAATGTAAGTCCTTTGTCTGAGAGACAGCTAGCAGTGATTTTTTTCCCACTCTGTGGGCATCGGGAGGCATCACAATCCCAGACTGAAAGTATACTATGAAGCTGTTGTGATAAAATCAGCATGGTATTGGTCGTAACACAGGTCTGAGAATCAGTGGAACAGAGTGGAAGACGCCAAGGCAAGCCCGAGCACACTCAGCCACCTTTGACAGAGGAGCCAAACATGCTAACTGGAAGAAAGACAGTCTCTTTAATAAATGGGACTGGAAAATCTGGCTTTCCACATGCCAAAGATTAAAGCTTGATCCATGTCTATCATCATGCCCTAAAGTCAAAATTCATCAAAGATCAAAATATTAAGATATACATACTAATTTACTAGAAGTAAAAATAGGTAGAAACCATGAAGACATAGGTGTAGGCAGAGAGTTGATGAAGGAAACCCAGACTGCAGGAAGTAGCAAAGAATCAACAAATGGGACCTCACCTTATTAGAAAGGTTTTACACAACAAAAGAAGTCACCAACAGAGTATCATGTGAACTTTTGAAAATAGATGCATGCAAAAATATAACCAGAGATAGGTATGGAAAAGTAGATGTGGAAAGCAGGACTAGAGAAAATGTGGCTGTGCTGGACGCAAGGGGACTCTAGTCCACGCCATGCTTGGCTAGATAGATTCTATGTTGAACACATAGGATACGGTCTCTGCTTCCAAGAAATCTAACTGTGACAGGAGTAGGAAATTCAGTCACACTATATTCAGGTACTTAGGTGTAATTTCTAATTATGTTCAATGAATTGACAAACGATTTTGTGGTTGTGTACTTTCAACCAAGGGGCAGTTTTCAGTAGCCCGGCAGAGTCCAGCCAGTGGCTATTGGGAAAGCTGTTACTGGCGAAAGAGTTCGCCGTCAGAGACTTTGGCGCGGCCATGGGAAACGGAACTTGGGAATTCATTGTTTTCTTCATCTGCATTTATGCCTTTTGAGCAGCAGTAGCCTTGGAGAAAGGGAGGATATGACCGACACAGGCCTTTCAGACTGCGACTTAAAGGTGCCTGGTACCCAGAAGTTACTGTGTCTCTTATCTGGGGGCTTCAAAAGGGTTTTCTTCATTAAAAAAAAAAAAAAAACAAAAACAACAACAACAAAAAAAAAAAACCAGTAAAACAGACTTGGGGAAGAGTGCCACGGCCTCTGCAGCAGGCTTTCCCAGCAGCCCTGGAAGGAGCTGTGACTTTCAGGACTTCACAGACAAGCAGGAGCGCTGTTTTCCACCAGGGGCTCAAACCTGGTGTTTGCCACCAGACACTTCACTGTGGTCCCAGGGCTTTATCTCGTGCTCGCGAGTGCTGCAGAGTGGCTGTTTCTAGCCCTGTGCAGGATGCCAAGAACCACGGATTGCAGCTTGTAGACAAAGTGGACAGTGTGATTTGTTTTTCCCTGATAAGCTACTTTGCTTGCATTCTATGGCGCTGCAGTGACATTTTAAAATTTTTACACAGGAAGAATGACTGTGCTGACTGTAAGCACTGCGAATCATAGGGAAGTGTGCAGGCCGCAGCTGGACACACGTCTTCGTTGACGCTTCTCCTTGCACCCCGTCTTTTCCACTTAGCATGTAGGGATAACCTAGGTTATTTTTTCTATGCATTTGAGTGTGAATGGAAAAAAAAAAAACCCAGCATTTCTGACTGCCTTACTTTAAATTTATTACTACATTTGCTATTTTCAAATACATGAGCACAAATCTCAAGGGAGATACATTAGTTATCTATTGATATATAAGAAATCACTCCCATAAATTAGCAGCTGAAAACACACAAATAGCGCTTCACCTATGCTCTGGGTCAGAAGTCTCCACATAGCTCGGATGAGTGACACTTGTTCAAGTCTTTCATGAGATTGAAGTCAAAATGTTGGCTGGCAGTCAATATAGTGGTGCACACCTATAATCCCAGCACTTGGGAGGCTCAGGCAGGAGGATTGAGATATTGAGGTCAGCCTGAGCTTCATAGTGAGTTCAAGCCCGACTTGAACTACGTGGTGAGACCTTGTCTCAAAAAACCAAACCAAAACCAACAAGCAGAATTATTGGCCAGTACTGAGGTCTTATTTTGAAGGCGAGCCTGCCATAGCACCAGGAGAATCTATTTCCCAGGGGCCCCACGTGTCTGTTAACAGCCCTCAGTTCCTTGACATGTGGGTCACCCCCAGCACTGCTCAAGACACGGAGGTATGTCTCACTCCCCAGAGTAAGCAGGCAAGAGAGAGCTGCAGGTGCAAGCCACGGTCTTTTTATAACAAGTGGTGACATTATATTTTATGAGCTAACATCAGATGTGGCATCCCTCCTGGTCCCAGTGTGTCACTATGGCTGCATGCATGATAAAGACGACTCAGAGATGAGACTTGGCTCAGTAACTGAGTGGTCCAGAGAGATTGTCCTAAAGTTTCAGGAGAACAACACACTGAGACCTCTGAGGCTATCTCTTTGTGACTTGAGGAGAACAAAGATGTAGAAGAAAAGCATGTGTGACAGTAGTACAGGTCAGGGGACAGGAAAGGAGCAGGACACAGCGGCCAAAGCAAGCATCTGTGTAGAACCCACTGACCGTGCTGCCTGCCGGCCCCCGGGTCGGCTGCACGCGCTCCATCAGCAGCCTGGGAACTGTCACGCTCACCTGTTGCTTTGCACTCTTACTTGAAGCACTCCTCTGGCCAGAGTCTCCCTCAAGTCCCCCATCTCTTGCTAGCCACAAGCAGGTCAGCATGTGCGGCCCACTCTCACGAAGGGAGCCGCTCAGTGTGTGATATCTAGGGGCTGGAGCCACTCGGGCCATCTCAGCAGCTGCCCCTGTGAGGGCCGGCAACGGCCCCGGAGTTCTGACCGTATTTCCCTAATCACCTTTCCCTCTGCCTCAGACACAACCTTCTTCCATCTCTTCAAACTTGGGATGCGGCTCCCTTTCTCTTTCTCTTCATTGTCTACCCATGGCCCATTTGCCTAAGAAAACAGAAGGAGTCAAAAGAGAAATGCTTCCCTTCTCGGTGATCCCCACTGGCTCGCGCTCGCCTGTGCTCACTCTGCCTGCAGCGCCTTCCTCCTGGTTCACGAGATAACAGGCTCTTCTCCTGGCCACTGCCACACCCCTCGCTGTACCTCCAGCTCGTCGCCTCTGGCCATCTGAGGACTTTCCGTCCGTACTTCTGCCTCCTCTTTTATAATAGTACGTATTCCTTTCCTACTGCATTATTCCCATCCACATCCAATCTTGAGTAGCAGTACTCTTTAAAAATCAAACCAAAAACAAAGAACAACTGCCCTTGGTGTCACTGAACTCCCCAAACATCCGTTTCCTGATTTCTTTAGAACAGAACCCTTTAAACAAATTTTCCCTACTTGTTATCTCTTCCTTGTTTGCATCAACTGAGGCTTTATTCCCACTACTTCCCTGGTGCTCTGCTTTCAAGATTGCCAGAAATTTCCATTTTGATGCAGACACTGATCAGTTACTGTCTTTTGTGGCTGCTCAGGCATTTGCTCCAATTGATCATTCCTTTCTCTCAGAAATCACTTTCTTCCCTTGGCTTTGGGGATGTGACTCTCTGTTGGCTTTCCCTCAACCAATAGGCGTTTCTTAAGTAAATCAAACATCTTTGGCTCTCTTGGCATTTCTTAAATAAGCCAAG